TCGCAGTTTCGTATAACTATACGTGTATACTCACATCCGTGGTACAATGTGTACGTATAACAGATGGCTGATCGGACGTGAAGGTATATATACCCGAGAAAGATATTACGAAGACGTTGAACCAAGGTGTGCACAATACACTTGGTACAGTTTTACCCCAATTTTGCTTGTGTATTTGTCGAAGGATGCCCAAATCTATAGCAGCACGATAGAGATGGAGGTTCACGGGAGATGATTCTTTTTATGGTTACCCTGGCCTTTGTCTTTCTGCGTGAATTTTATTCACATTTCCAAGGAATTTCCTGTTTTTCAATCATTGACAATCCATCTACTGAACATTCTAGATCACCTGTGTGGCATGTACATATAAAAAAATGAAACACTTGATTGGACATGTAAGTAATTCCATGTGGAAGTAGTCATGCAAGAAATCGTTGGTCACAAATAGTTCGATAGTTTAATCGTTTGACTGATTGGGCCACCGAGACACAATGGCAAGCGCATGTTATTATGCCCATAAAACAAATGTTCTTTCATTCCCTACGCGCCATAAAAAACGGTAGCCATGACGATGAAAATTTCAAGTAAACGAGCGATCCTTCTGCAAACAAGGTGTGGGTACTCGTATTTTAGTTGTGGCTGTACACAGCCCTCGACGACCTCCAGCGGTCCATAAACCAGACGACGAAGCAGCTCATCAACAGAGACAAAGTCGCGCGAACCGTGAATGCGCGCCGGTGTCCGAATCGAGTCGAGGAGTGAAAGAAACAAAGAGAAGACGGAGAACTTGGGCGAGGAAAAAAGACGAGTTGGCTGAAAAAGGGACGGAGAGGAGGAGGAGGCAGCCAAACTGCACGAAGAGTGTAAATAATACCAAGGCTGATTGTGGGCGTGGCCGAGAGAACTCTAAAAAGCCTCGACTGTATATCAGAGGGTTTACTACCCTTCCGTTGCGTTTTCTTTCTTTTTTTTTCCCTGCCCTCCTCCCTCCTGCACCGAGACTCACCTCCATGTACTCCTTCTACCGAGTTGTTGGGTTTCTCGTACGCGTGTCTCTTTCGCTGAGGGGATAAAGGGACGTCCGTCGTGTGCCGACGAAAGAAGAACAAATATCGCGAAGGAAAAATAGGACAGGTGCAGCAGTGTACTAATACCAGAGCAGAGATGGCAGAGAGTGTGAACAAAAATGTGGCTGTTGTCTTCCTGGTCGAAGGCAAAAGTAGCGAAAATAATCAGGACGTGTCAGATGAACATACAGTTCCAATCGGGGTCCAGTTCTTCCGCGCAAAATTGGACAATGTTTCCGTACAAACCGTAACAAAAGTTTTCTTATCCGAAGCAAACGAAAAATGTGTATTGGCGAAGGAGCCGAGCACCAAGCAATTCTCGAAACGTGCGGTATAGGTACTTTCGCTGTGGTATGTCCGAGAGACGGCGCTTAGGCGTTCTCCAGTGAAGCGTGGCACCGGTGGGGGGGAGACAGTCTCGATTACTTGAAAAACCGGATTCCATCCGCGCGAAACTGATGTTTCCCGTATTTACGTAGATGGCGTGCCGCGACGAGTGCGGCCATACATCTCTCCCCTTCCATTTCGGTCGACCAACCGGACGCGGATCGATCATTTCTCGCGTTGGCTCTTTCTTCCTTCCATTTACAAACCCAGGTTTAAACGGACTCTCATTGCAAACATTACGAGAATTTTCTGTCTGGTTGCGGAAATCTCAATGCTGGAACAGTTTCAACTATTGCATATATTTCGAGAGAGAAAAATAAGTACAATTTTTAATCTCAATTAAGGCCAGCTCTTGCGTGATCTGCTCCACACCGTTTGACAAACCACGTGATCGGTCCAAGCCAATCAGATCGCGAATAAAATTGCTTCGTTTCGCGATCCATTCATATTTCACATCAAACCAATATAGTTAATTCGAACGACTCGAGTCCATTTGTAGCCCCTATGAGACGTAATATGATGGACTGATCCGCGAGCAACTATCCGTTTGAGCCAACTAGGAGTATTTTCCGTCTACTCGGTTTGCTAAGAACAATAGACCACAGAGGGAGCGAGCAAAGGTCCGCAGACAGGCCGATCCAGGGACATACGTACAAAGGGAAGAAGATTTTCCAAATAATTTCACGTAAGCGCGCATCCCCTTTGTTTGCGAGTTCGCTCGCTCGCCCGCAAAAATATAAATCCTCCTTCGTCTTTTTTTTTTTTGACTCTCCCTTTCCCCCCCGCCTCCATATCGCTTTTTCATACGGTCTAACAATATGATGCGTTCGCCTCCGTGGACGCACGCGGTGGTTGATTTCGCGGAGCAAAAAGAAACTCTCTTTCTCGTCCACTTGGTGGACATGTCATATGCGAATCCGAGCAGAGGATGGATTTTGGCAAAGGCACCAGATAAATATGTCTACCCCCACTCCCCTCAGACTCTGTTTCTCTTCCTCCCTGTCCTTTGCTTCGCGGCTCGATGAGCCAGATTAAATTCTTTCAAGCCCCCTTGGCCCCCCCTTCCCTCCCCGTTTTGACCACCTACTTCTACTAAAACTGCAAACCCCCGTCTCCCTCTCGCTCCCTTTCCATCTCTCGCGTCCCAAGGCTTTGACACTGTACCTTTATGGACATCAGAGTGTATATATATATATGTGTGTGTGAATAGAAAAAAAAGGAGAGCTCATCAATCGTGAGAGGTTGGAGTTAAGGTATCCCGAAGGGCTCAATCTCACGGTTCTCTATCGGCCATTAGCTTTTCGCGTCTTCGCGGAGGTGATGACACTTTCGACAAAAATCCACGCCCACATCGTCACAGCGGCTGTCGATGGATCTCCAATTTGCGATAGGAACTCGTACTAGTTCACGCGAAAAGTGCAGAAACAATACCGCGTAATGGAATTATTCGAGGAAAAGGGTCGAGTTGCCGTGCCGCCGCAGATTTTCCCTCGATTCATAAGCATATTTGCCTCGCCAAAGCCAATTTGCGGAGTACACCGGTACGCTTCTGTCACAACTACTCGACTTTCGTTACCATCACCTGGCTGGCTTCGATTTTATTAAATTACCGTCCACCCTTATTCTCGAGCGGTTCGCCAAAGTGTTTTGAACAAGGGAAGAAAATAACTACTCTGGCACTTTTCGGATCTTTGGAGCTCTTTGCATGGTTTTGCTTGAAAAATGCGCGCTTCGTCCATCAATCCAGTTTGCTACGTACGGTGACGGACTCCTTGTACAGCACACCTAATACGTTTAAGAGGCAAACAGGAGGAAGAAGAAGGAGAGTGCGAGAAAGGAGCGGATCTCATTTAGGCCGGCAATTTATTCTCGCGTCTCCCGTAATTAACGCGCTCGAGCGTCCAAGAGGGGAACGGAAAAGTCTTATGCGTGTGTGTGTGTGCGAGAGTTGGATAATTCGTTCAATTCCTCTTTGTCTCGAGCTTTACTCGTTTCTTTAATCCTCCACTTTTTGCGTTCACTCTAAGCTAAAAGAGTGTGTGATGTAAAGTGCTGTATTTGAAAAATATCATTATGCAGTGGTAACGACTTAATGGAAAATATGAAGTTTAATTTCTTTAATCGTACAAGTATTAGATTTAAATTAATAATGAGAATAAATTCTAAATTAATGATTCGTATCGACGAACGTACAATTATTTTAGATTCACAGTTACACCTCTAAGCCATGAATTTTTCAAGATTCAAACTGGCACACTCGTATACTTAGAGAAAAAGTAGTAGCTAATCCTAAGATAAATTATGTTGATTGAGGCTAAGGAGAGGGAGCATCGGTACCTCTTCATTACATAAGAAAGTGTACATGTATACATATGACCAAAAAGGTTCCTTGGGAGCTCGCTTGGGAGGGACTTAATAAATATATAACTTCAAATGGTTGCCAAATTACTTTAAGTTGGCAATTGTATTTCGATAGAATCGTGGTCACATGAACTCCTATTGAGGTTACCCCGAAACTTTTATGTTCCAAAAAATCTCTATTATTATTCAATTGCCATCATTAACGATTGAATAAAAAATTCTACAAATGCTTGAGAAAAGGTGTTACGTTTTCTTGTTCCATCCAAACGATGATTCGATTTGTGCACCTTTTAAAAAAATCATCTAACTACCTTGTACAAAAGTGAGATTTGCAATGGAATTTTTATGCAAATTGGTGGTTCGTAGTGTCATCGGAATTCATGGGCAGAATAGATTACCTGCGCGATGACTGCGTGGGAGTCGATGCTCGTCAAAATGACGCCCACCTCGCACACTTTTGTGCACAGCTTGGTTTCTTGTCCATCGTTGAAGCCTCAAGAAAATAATCCTTGACAGCTGAAAGAAACAGAGCGATGCTTTAGCTAACTGTTTTAGCTTTGCAGGAAATAATATCATGTTCATTCCAAGCGAGAAAATTTTTGCCAATCCTTACTATATAAGTATAGTAGAAACAATCTAAATTCAGAGTATGACCAACTTATTTTAATAGTCTTAAATATGTTGAATAATTAAACGTATAATGTTGTGAAAGTAAAATACCCTGTCCTGTCTATTGTCAGCAGTAATGACTTCTGCTAATACAAACATTTATTTTCCATGAAGTATTCATATCCTGTTGTTTTTATAGTTCATTTTCTTTAACTCCAGTATCATAAATATTGTAAAATTAAGTTCTGAAATATATACTTAGTCATGTTTTAGGTTTACATAAACTTGAAACAAAGTCCATTTTAACATGCAAATTAGTAAAAACTTAAAAGATTATGTGAAGTTTTTAATTTTTACATTTCACACAAATATTATGTATCTTCGCATCAATTTTAAATTTGTACTAATTTCTACATCCGTAAATATAATCTTCATATCAATGAAAATGTTAACGCAAAGAGCCGTAGTGATGTCGCGTGTAGCGAAAATAAATAAAAATTGTAAAATATGACTTAAGCATCGGTTGTAAGCCATTGCAGCTGAAGAATAACAAGAAAATGTTTTATTTTGTTTCAGAAAGGGACCTTAATCAGCTAGCTTATCGGTTTGGTTTAGGTAATATGCACTTTTTGTTTTCATTTTAATTAATAATGATCCATGCTTTATATTGAGGTACCTTTCTGTAACACCTCACTCGGTCTTTTAACAAACACCCATCCCAACAGCCCGTTTTCCTCGTATCCTTCGATAAAAACCGTCTCGCCTCTCGTGCAGCTTTTAATCGCATATTAAAAAATTAATTACAAAACCCACTCGAAACAAAACAAAATACATGCCCATTAAAAGCCAAACAGAACAAGCAGAACAAACAAACAAACGAGCAAATAAGAGCCAAGGCTGCAAAGAACACCAAAGAGCTCTTCATCCGCGGAGTGGCGGCTCCTTTACTTCGTTGATTCTCGAGCAGTGTATCCTATATATATATGCGCCACCGATGCTGCTGCAGCCGCTCTCTCGGGAGAGAGATAGCCCGTCTGTATAATTACGGGTTGTCACCTCGTCAGATGTACACGTATACACGTGTGCGCAACGACGACTCAGACGCGCGCGTGTACGTGAGATATAGAAAGGGGTAATCGGCGCCGCACAATCAAAAAGACTTGCGCTGATGGAGCAGCGCATGGTGCAGGAGGAGATGCAGCAGTCCTGGAGATCAGCTCTTTAAGAGCTCTCATCCCCCTCCCCCCCTCTCTCTCTACTCCCAAATTGTGTTTTATCGCTCTGCCTTTCTTGCGCTCCACCGGACTCATCAAAATCAAAGTCACCTGTCCCTCTCTCTCTCTCTCTTGCTCAGCTCGTTTTATCTCTCTCTTTTGATTCTTTTTTTTCTTCTTTTCATTCACTTTTTTTCTCTTCCTCCGCTTGAAATTTAAATGCAGTAGTCGGTGCGAGTAATAATAAAGCGCGCCCGCGCTTCGTTTATATGCAGATACGCGTCTTAACTGCCTGATTAGGTTGGGTGGTGATTCTTTATTGCTCTGCTTCTGGTTTTCACCTTTTTCTTCTTTTTCTTTTTTTTTTACACTCGAAAGCGTGCTCTTAGTGACTATCTGTATAGAATGGCTAGTGTGATGCTCGGAGAGTTTGGCCACGCTTCAATATTGCATTTATTGATACCCCATTGATTTCCTTCATCAATTCTCCATAGTTTCCACTTTGAGTCAATGTAACTCATTGTATATAAATCTACTGTAAGTTGAACACATTGATTGGTACTTGAGTGTACCTAAATTATGAATACGATCAGTAGAGATAATGATGTTTAGTTGTTGAGTGACGTTGAACTTTTGACTCTAAAATTTTGAACAAAGTACTGTAAATTTGATGGAAAAAAAGAAAATATTGTCCTTAAGTACAAATCGAGCAAAACGTTATAGTGACATTATAAAATACCGAATCTACAAATTATTCCCTAAAATTACTACAATCTATTTTACGATCCCATTTACGATTATTGCAAAATCGTTAATTTTAGTTCCACAATCTGGCAAACCTAGAAGATACTCGATTTACCAACACATCAGTATGTTTCAAGTTAACCTTTTCACTGATTCTACATATCAAGTCATACAATTGTAAATATTTTCAATGAAAAATGTTAGTTATCTACAATGTCACAGAATATTTAGTGTACAATCCGTGCGCATGAACAAACAAAATCATTTCAATTACCGATCATCCCGTGGCTCGCGATTTAATACAACCTAACAAAATGAAGTCGTGATAATAATCCACAAACAGACGTCGGCACATAACTCTTTGCGCGTGTAGCAAAGTTAAATATCTGGCTCTGTGTATTATGTACATACCCACACGCAGCCAAGAAACGGGAGGCAAAACCCCATTGCAGGGCCTCGGCAGCTGTTGTCCGGACGATAAGATCATCTCCTCGTGCACATCTTATACGTGTAGATATATATCGTTCGTGCATCCGTGCGCGTGTGTGCAACGGCGCAACGCTGAGCCGAGGAATGAAAGTTTCGATTAAACGGTCGTGTTTCGTGCCCCCGGTAGTCCTCCAGACGTGAAAAATATCGATTTTATTAAGATCCGAAAGCTGTATCCTGCACACATGCGTGTATGTATAATATTACACGTGCTTATGGTGCAGATTGCATCGTTGCGAGTATTGAAAGCTGGAATAGGATTTTTATACGTTGTATTAATCACGTTAGCCTCTTATTCGCAATGCTACTTCTCAATGAAAACCCATTTGTAGGATTTTTATCGCTTGGCAAGGGTTTTCAGAACTTGACGTGAAAATAACGTCATAATCTCTTACTCTACTCGATACCTCAAAACAAATACGTCACATCATCATCATTAACGTAAGTAGAGACAACGATTCCACGACTCGGAAACCACCGTATCACCAGTTAATTACATATTTCCCTTTCTTTCCGATGGAGGCCCGTGCGCGTCCTTCAAGGATAACGACAAGTAATGAAAATCCGCGGGTCGAGCTCGGTTTTTCAAAAATAAATCACACCCCGGATAAACGAGTACACGTGCGCGGGCTATACCTCCGCAATCGGACATTATACGGATCGGCCCCTCGGATGAGCAAGCGCTCGGCGATCGCGCGCCCCTCTGAGCCATGAGAAATTCGCGCGCATTGATCCGAGGGAGAAACAAAACGCCAGACGGGCAATTGCGCGCGTACACTTATATACACGCGTGTACTATACTTACTCGGACGGAGAGACAGGTAGGATGAATATGCGAGTGAGCGGACATCGGAGGGGGAGGTAGAGCGCGAAGGACCAAAGCCGTAAGTGGAGAGTTTAGAGGGATTTCATTAAATCATATGGATTGGGGATATAATGTATGTTATTGAGGCCCCGGGGCCCATTGGAATCGCGCTCTATAAGTTGTGTAGCGGGTCCAATTTTAGGTTGGGGTGGTCACACACATGTGAGAGCCTCTCGCGCGCCTTCGGAAGAACCGAGGAGGAAAAGGGAGACGATCGCCGGGTTACAGTGTACACACTATATACGTATATAAATATATATATATGAACTGTGGGACGGGGGGAGAGAAAAGGAACCCGCCACTTATGTGCTCGGAGAGTGGGTACGGGACAGGAGAGTAAGAGAAATAAAAGAGAGATATTGGCGCGCACGCCGACCCGAAATCACTGCCATTTAGGTAATTCGTAATGAATAGCTCCTTACTCTCTCTCTCTGCCCTTTTCGGCTGTTTGTGCCTGCCTGACTTTGGATTGCTGGGCTATTTTTTTTTTTTTTTTTTCTTACACAGTTCAAAGCACGCGTTTTGTAGGGGCTTTTTTTTTGTTTTGTTTGGTTGCAAAACAACAAGGGGTGCGATCGGCCCAAGCGAAATGACAATTGTTGGTGTTGGCGCAGCCTGTCGTCGTATATCATGGCGCCCTTTGGGTTGGCCGGTGATTCGCCGAAAAAAAGGCAACGTAACGAGCGCCGAACGCGTGTCTCCGTTTTTCTTCCTTTGAGCCTTCGTGTGGGTTAATGATGCGTTTTGCCATTTCTTCTTTTGCGCCACACCGGTGTGATATCGATACAGCCGCAGATGGGGCATTTTCATGCAAAACATTCCTGGGACTTAATGATCGGGACGATTAGGTCTACCCGCTGAACAGAGGAATTTCATCGAGCTGTATGTGCATAGATCCGTTAAAGTGTTTTCGATGGTACATGGTGGACAGAGAGGTTTTGCCTTTTTTTCGAAAGCTATTGCGAAAGGCCGGACAATTAGTACTTCGGGGAACCGAGCGATTTGTCAAATTCTTGCAAGCAAGGATTAATTCCTACTTGTTCATTCATAACTTCGTAATCGCATAAAAATCACATTTGCTGTTTACTAATATTTTCACTATCGTTATGAGATAAAGCAAACAAATTCAATGCAAATGTCCAATTGGAACTGGAGAAAACAAAAATAATGCCGATTACAGGGCAGTGGCTTAGTGATAAGCTCTTTTTTTTTTTTTTTTCAAATTATCACCGAATTGGGACAAGGTCATGGATGTAATTCTTTGATAAAATTATCGAATTTGTGATTTATCATTGACTGACTTTTGTCGCTGGTTAGTGTCAAATTGATACCAGATATCTAGAGCCCCCTCCAAATGAACTCATCTATTAATTTGCCTGGAATTCTATATGTGGCTTGCGTATATACACATTTTCTGTGTTCATGTATTACTGTGACTCTGCTTTCATCTTGATATAGATTATCACATCACTCAGCTGGTTGAATCATATATTTATTGTGTGCCTATTTTATAATACTTATCATTATAGATAAAAATTTAGAACTAACTTAAATCTGTACATTGCCCCTATACGTCCTCACTAGCCCAGATAGTTGACACATGAAGATTTGTTCATGTGAATTTGCTGAATCCACTGTAATGACAGTACAGTTTTGCATGCAAGCGAAAGAGGACAAGAAATACTTTATATCAGCCGAGATATCGGATTCAAATAATTGTTCATGATAAACAAATGACAAATTTGTATCTATATTTGAATGAAGAAAGTTAAAGTTGTTTAAATACGAGCAATGTGGTACTCGAGCACGTGGAAAACTATAAATCAAAGACCAACAAATGATATTGTAAAACGAAAAAGCAAATAATCGTTCGCTCCAACTCGTTTGTCGATATCGATATTTTGTAAAATAGTCTATATAGTGAGCATTGTAGAAAGTGTATTTTGATACTTAGTCCAAAAAATTAATGCGCAAGTGGCTTTTACAACAATTACACGGTGCCCTTCAGGTAGTTCATACAGCTCAGTTTCTCAACTTAGTTCTGAAGTAGTTAATCATTGATTTTTCAAATAATTTTTGTTGTTCATCGTCAGTTGACACCTCGGTATGATCTAATAAACTTTTACACATTATAAAACTAACAAAAAAAATACTCGATAATTTACAACATCGAAGGTGTGACTTTAGAGAAATATAGTTTTATGATAAATGTATGACAGTACTCAAGTTATAATCAACATCATGAAGGAACTCATCAATAAAGTTTAAATGAAAGTTTAATTTTAATACTAAGATACTGACATATTAGGTATGTATGTAGGACAAAAACGACTTAGACAATAATTTTTGCAATAACCGTTATGATCTAGCTCAAATTCGGCTCTAATTTAATAAAGGCGACTGTATGCGACTCAGCCCTGAGCGACGCAAGTTCAGTGATTGCGTTCCGAAAATAGGAAAAGATAGTTACAAATTTGGTATTTATAGCGAAAAAAAGGAGAATAAAGGCAGTGGACGAGAAAAGCGCAAGCTGCTTGTAAATTAAAAGCAAATACAACTCGACGAAGCTCAGCAAAAAAGGAGAGAGAGGACTCGCGACAAATCGGAGCCCTTCAATATTTCCAAGTCGGCCGCATCGATCAGAAAGGCGCTCGACGTGAGCGCGCATACATTATCCACGTATAAATACACACCTCCTTCGCGGCGCTATTTATACATAGCTGATAAACACATGCGCATCCCTCCCACGGATCCTCGTCTTGGAAATATCGAGGGTATCCCCCCGCACGGGCGCGCCGCCCCCGTCTTCCACGAGAAAAGCTCGATTGGAACCTAATATTTGCTCGCGTGGAATGACAGATTTCCGAGTTTCATCTGACCGAATCCAAAAGCCATACCCCGGGAGAGCTTTTCTGATGGCTGGGCGCCCGCTTATCTCGTGAGAATTGATACTCGCGTTTTGTTGTTGTTGTTGCCTCCACTGCTGCTCTCACTCGTGGATTATGGGCCGAACCGAGATGGAAAGGGGCGATGATGCTTTCACGCGTATTTACATTTCTTTGTAAAGAATATGCTGTCATTATTTTGAAGAATCACGATGGAGCTCTGCTGTGTGTGTACATGTGACGGAGGAGGGCACTACCATTCCACAAACGCACTTTGCCGTATGACTTTTTTTTCTGTAACTTAAGAATAAAAAAAAGAAGGTGTTTTGATGCTTCGTTGAACACGTTAAAGTAGATTTGTCTGAGAAATAAATCCCACTCCTTTTTTTTGAAATAAAAAAAAAGAGACCGAAGGGCTGAGCAATGAGCAAGTTAGTGTATTTTGAGTCATGATTTTCAAAACTCTGGCGAAATTAAAAAAAAAAAAAAAAAAACTAGATACAAGACATTTCGAAGTGTGCAGCTCTTAAGCAGAAATAAAAGAAAACATTTTTTCATAGTCACACTTTTATTTCCAAGAGTTTATGTTTGTATGTAAATGATTGTGCCTAAGACCGTCAAAGTACCAAAGATGCAATACATATACCTAACATAAGCAACATTTATACGTTGTATAGGAACTATTTCATTAAAAATTGATCTCGTCAACCACCCAAACAGAGAATTTTATAAGTAAAAAGATCTGGGTCCTCTATAAAATCAAAGTGTATTAAAGTACACATTGAAATTTCAGTTTTTTATAAAATGCATGAAGTATAGTAGTCTTGATAAACATTTCATGAACAACCAAATTGATGCTCGTGATTTATTTCACCTATTACATTAAACAAAACTATTGTTTTTCATCAACGATTGACATACGAAGGCTGTAGAGGGTAAAACATTTTTGTCACCGATTTTACACACTTAAATCTGTGACAGCCAAGTTTGTTCTCTCCACAGCTTTTCTACATTGATTTTTTCCATTCAAAGTGTCCAATTTAATGGAACTGGTTAACCACTTGATGTGCCATAGCTTTGTCTTTATAATTATTATCTATACGCTACACTACTATGTATTTTATAAAAAACCAAAATTTTAACTGCACACTTTATACGTGCAATTTACCACTCTTGGATATACGGTGTGACCACTGACGTGCTGTGCAATTTAAAAAAATTGTTGTCTCCATGACTAAAATAAAATCACTTTCCGTGAAAAAAATCGTAATCCATACCAAAAGAAATTCCGAATCGCCAGCTACAGATGGTAATAGCAGCTCGTATCACCGTAAAACTCAACTCAATCCCACACATAGACACACACACCACACACAGCCCTCTATCTTCTCGGTGAAATGATGTCCAACAACAACAACAACAACAACAACAACCACGTCAACGATCGTTCATCCCCCTTATTTATTTTTTTGTTTTCTCCGCGCTGTTGCAGAGGTGCCACGACTGGAGAAATCACCGCTGCTGGCGAACGGGTACAATCATCCACCGACGCACCTGAGCCACATGCAGTTCATGCAGCTGGGAGGCCACCCAGGCGCCGGTCACACGGCCATACTGTCCCCGGCTAGTCTGCCCCATCACCTGCAGGCCCAGGCCCAGGCGAGGGCCGCTGAGCAGGGGCTCAAGGTCAACCACAACATTCCCAACATGGAGACGCTCGCGAGGTATGCACATTATCATCATTATTAGTATAGTCGTACGCTGTTTCTTCCCGCATCTTCTCCGATCTTATTACCTCCCTGTGCCGTGTGTGTGTATATATATATACCCTTCCATTGGCAGCCGGCCGGTGCTTGCACATGTGTGTGTGTGGGTGCACAAAGCGACTGATTATTGTTATTTTCCTCGCAATCTCCCCTCCCATCCCTCTCTAGCGAAAGAGCCTTACAGTGTCTTACCGTGCAAATTTATCGCGCGCCCACGTATATATGTACGCGTGTGTACGTTCCGCCTCCCTCGCTGAATTGCTGTATTTATGAGTTTGGAAAAATTGAGGGCTTGCAAAGGGCACGTCCCCGAGACCGGCCACGCGTTTTCGCGGTAGCGTCGATGGATTTTCAACTGATACGTGCGTCGAGGGGAATTTTGCAGACTTTTTATTCGTCCACCTCGCGGTGATTGGTGTAGTTGGGGTGTTTCACGTTTGCTCGGTGCTGACGATTTTTTTTTTACTCCCACCGAAGAAAAAAAAGACACGAAAAGTGGTTTCTCTGTCGTATTACGATAAATATGATTTTTTGGTCATTTTTCGCCATAAATAACTATTCGTTCAAATGGCCAAGTCTTTCGTTGATCCCTACGATTCATGTTAATTAACCTGTTCTTTTTTAATTCCTTGTAATAGTAAAACAGATAGTACTGCAACTTAAGAAGAAAAAAAAATTCCTCCGAGCTAAATCTTTCTTGAAGGCAATTTTGAGTTAGCTTTTTGTTCGACCGTGCATCGATACATAACTGTCTCCAAAACTATCAGTTCAAATTTTAGCTGATATATATCTATACGATATACAGATCAGTACAAAAATCAATATTGAGAAGTAATTTTTTTGTTAGTTTTCTTATTAAGTACGCCAGATCAACGACTTATTAATACATTTTGTACAAGAACACTCGCGATAGAAGTATATTTAAACTTAAATCTTATTTCTAAGCTTCGCTGTACCATCGATAACCTTCTTAAAAACAGAGCGGGATTTTAATCTGGAAGCCACATTTTCTTATAAAATGAATTTTTCATGCTATTCCCATTCCCTAGTCTAAAATAAGTATATAATTTAGGAAACATCATTTCAGAATAGTCATAAAAGCAAATGTTTTTTTAACCCAAATTCCTTGTTGTTTACTTGTTAATGGATTTACTTGGAAAACTTGCAGGTTCGATTGGGCCGTATTACTTGAATGATAAGATAAAGATTGAGACTTGAAACGTTAAACGCAGAAAACGCTATACTTACACAAAAATCTATTTTTTGAACAAGCGTCTAAAAAAAAATGTCAATTATCGGTGTCTTATCAAAGAACTCTATATTGCCTAAAAAAAAACTCATTTAAGCATTGTTACGCCTGTTTTCGGGTTTGAAAAATCGTGCTCTACCATATTTTAATCACATTTCTCGATCGCTGATAAAAATGTTCGAGCGCGTTTTTCGCTGATAGCGTATATCTAGTACATCGCGTGAAATCTTTTTGAAAATTGTGCAACAAGTTTAGCATCCAATGTACACACAGTAGGATATTTGTCAACCGTTTTCGAACGAAGCTCAGTACTTTTTGCAAACTTACCTATATAGATTCTTCAATTACGCAACAGAGTAGTTACTGATGCAATAATCAATTATAGTCGTGATAAAAAGTGACGAATGGATTTTAGTTCCTTGAATCTTAGTTCCGCTAATTTTCAGCGCAGAAAACAACGCAAGCCCCGGAAACAGATCAACGATCACAGATAGCGTTATAGTCTTTGTCATTGGTTCACGCGACCGCGTTCTTTCCTCATTGGCCGAGACGCGGCGACCAAACGCGAACCTCGGAAGTTCACGTAACCGCATCCACGTACGCCCCCTCCCCCTCCCCGGCTCCATATTGCATAATCTCCATCGACAAAATGCAGCGGAGTGACTGGCTCCCTCGTCTGCTGGACATTTTTTTTTTCCCCCGTCTATACACGGACGACTCGACCCGAGCATCGTGGAAACACGAGAAACAAAGTAGGAAAAAAAAAGACGTTGCAGCCGTAGAATATCTTGGGTTTGTTTGTTTTACGTTCTCTCTCCGCCTAATGTCCGCGTGGATCCGTAGTATAGGTATATATAGCCACACGTGCCAATATGTACACGATGTGTTGGCGGAAAGCAGAGCAGAAACGACTACGTGCGCGAGGCCAGAGGAATACAACTTTAAGAGGATTGCCAGCACCGAAGAGAGAAGAGCCGAAGCCGTGGAAATCCGAGGGGTGTCCCTTTCTTCTTCTTCTTCTTCTTCTTCTTCTTCTTCTGCTCATTATCATTGCTATTATTTCTACGATCGTTGTTATTATTATTGTGATTATCGACAGGCGCGTCTCCTCTGCTTTCTGAGCATAGGTATGAGACCGCAAGTGCAATGTGGGAGGACGAGTTCTCTTTTACTCGGTGTCGTTTAGCGACATTTAGCTCAGCGGATTTGTATCTTTTGTCTCCCCTTCGGTTACCCCCACACTCTTCCTGTCATATATTGAGCTTTGCTCGGTCATTTGTACTCACGATCTCGAATAACCTTTGCGCTTCTTACCAATGAATGTACAGGTGTAAGTCATTTGCTGAGATTCATGGGAAATAGAAAAAGTTTTACGATCCCTGCAAAGCTCCGTGATTAAAAACAAAACTCACAACGGTATGGCCGGGGTTGAGGGGGTCGCGTTTTCCGGCACCCAGCTAACCCAAAGCTCTCTCGGGTCCCCGGAGAGCTTAACGAGCGCTGGGGTCTATTAGAAACGCGTTTAACAAATGCCCGGATTAGCCGAGCTTTGCCCACTGCCGAGGATCTTTGTCGCTTACTTACCTCGGCTCTTTCGTCCCCGGATTCGTCAAACTCTCTCAGGAGCGAGCTTTGAAAGTGGTGCCGTCGATACTACAGGTACCGAGTCAAATGAGCGCGCGGACTAAATGATAGCTAATAAGCATCAGTTTCAGGCCAACATCAATGATATCCAATCAATGTTTTTTGGGCTACAAAATATTTCTGGCCCCATCGATTTTCGTCGAGGTTTTTTAGGTTGTTTTTATACAATACGGGTACTATCGTGTACAAAAATACGGGTGCACATGTACCCAAGGTCCACAAAATTTCAACATTTTTTGATTATGTTTACAGTTTCATCGATATATTGTAGATCAATCGGTTTTTCTAGCGCCATCGACTTTTACTCTACATAGTTCCGACTGAGAGATCCTTGGATTTTCCTTTGTTTTCGTGTACTATACATATTATTTGTGTACAGAAAAAATTAGGTATTAAAAAAAAAAAAAAAAAAATACTTGGGTAAAAAAAGAACAATCGACGCAAACACGTCTCATCGCATTATCCAGCGCTTATCGTAAGAGAAAAAAAATAGTGCCGGAAGGGAAAGACGTATCGAAAAGCGTTACGAGCCAAGTAAAAAGCGCGAGCGAGCTGAAGAAAGACAGAGAGCCAGTGGAGACGACACGACGACTATGACGAAGAAGAAGAAGCATCAGCACATCAGCCGCACGTTCCGTATTATGATTTCAGCGCTTTGCTTTTAATTAAAATGCAAATCTATCCGGCGTCGGAGGAGCGAGCGAGAGAGATCGGGAGGTAAGACGGATTACGTCTAGGGGCGCCACGACAAACACCGGAATATGATTAATTCAGCCAACCCCATCTCTTTCTCTCCCCCCTTCCTATATCTATGCACACTGCGCACTTACGCATATGTGTGTGTGTGTGTATACACGCGTGTACAAACTCCGAGTGTTACATCTCGTCACTGTGTCGTCACTCCCCCCCTCCCTTCTATGCGCGTGACGCGTAAAACGTGCAAACTTGTGGAGGCAGTGTACCTACATTTTTCTCATGTCCGTCAAGTCTCACGTGTGATACCTCAATGCAATGTACCGAGACCCGAGGATGACTTGTCGCGTGAGAAAACTGCGTTTTTTTATGTAAAATGGCTTGTTGCTTCTCCGATCGGAACAACGACTCGCCTTTTCCTTGTATTCAATACTCATAAGATTTGCTTACAATTTTGAGTAAGTGTTTTTAAAGATAGCGTCTTTGTGCGGTTGAATTTTTCAGAAAAATCATTCACAGCTGTGCCCTTTTCGAGAAAGAGTCCAAGAGGCAAGGCTGTAGGTTTTTTAGGAATATATACGTTAACACTGAAAGAAAAGAATAATAAAAATTGTAAAGAAATTCCAGCAAAAATTACCATTTCGCACAGTAAATCCGATGCAAGTTGGCCAAAAAGGAAAAATTATTATTTTTAATAGTGAAAATTTCTATGCGGGAAAGTAAAATTCATTAACCAATCCTTTTAAGGTTTACTGTTCCTGCTAAATAATTTGTATCATACTACATATAATTTTTACTGTCTTAATCATAATTTTAACCATTAAAACAGTCATTTTTACTTTTAAAATGATAACTTTTTCCTTTTTTGTCAACTTACATCCGATTTACTTTGCGTGATGGCAGTTTTTGCTGGAATTTCTCTACAATTTTTATTACTTTTTTCCCTCAGTGTACAAATCGATAATACCAAGGTACAAAAACCAAGTGTACCTTCATGAAAGTGTATACAATTGTTGAGTATTTCCACTTTTCATGAAACATCGTTCAGTGAAAAAGATAACACGTCTTTGATATAAAAAGCCTGGCGAAATAAACTTGATTCGCTGGTCCTTTTAATTACAAGTCTCTTTCCTCTTGCAAAGTCTCCTCTCTTTTAATTTCGATACTTGCGACGTCGCGCGCAACGAAGTACTTTCTAAAATAAGCAAGTACAACCAAAGAGTGTATGTCGTATACGCGAAGCGAAGGAATGAATGAAAGGCCCCCTGGCTTTTGAATCTCGAGATAAATGGTCCTCTTTTTTTTTTGTGTTTGTTTTGTTTTTAATCAGCGACTTCAAAGTCAATCGAATCAAAGGGCTCGCGCGACTAAACGCCGAAAAAGTCTTAATCAAGCCTCCTGCCCCCTTCTCTCGTTTTTCCCATTTTTTTTTCTCCTTCCGGGACACGCGTCCGTTTCCTTTTCGTCGACGAACACTAATCAGCCCTTGGAGGCGATGGCTCGCTCTTTGCGCGCCGTCGCGTATAATTTGATTTCCTCGCTGATCACTCGACGAATCGTTTTTATTAATTTTTCAAAAGCTCGTCAAAGAGATCAAGTATACACGTTTGACCTTTTTTTTTCCAGATCCGGCGCCGCTTGGGACAACTGCCGGGCAGCTTACGAGGACATCGTCAAGCAGTTGGAAAGGTAAGTCTGTTTTTCTTTTTGTTGTTTTTCGTACATTTGCAAGTGTTTGAGGACGAGGAAATCTTTTTTTTTTCTGTCTTCTCTCTTAATCTATTCTATACCGAGCTAGTTTTTTCATGAAATACACTACCCACACAGTGCGAGCACCACCCGATTCGTACTTCTGATTTAAGAGTGTATACGGTTCGACTTTTCGCTCCGCTGTAAGCACCCCCCCCCCCCATGTACAGGGGGAGGTCGGCGCTCCGTCAACTTGGCCGGCACAGTCCGAGAAGGGCGGCCCAATACGTACGTGTATAGGTGCGCGGGAACAAAGGTTTACATCAGTGTCAGTCGCAACAAGTCCGCGCGTCCAGCCCGCCGCCCATGAATATTCAGAGCCCCCGGTGTTGATGCCCGCTCGCCCGCACACCCCCCTTTCGCGCGCACCTCCGCTTCGCCGTGTATAAATATCGGCCTCCGTCCGTCGAGGGAAGCCCGTGCGTGTACACGCATAGGTGACCAGTCAAAGGCACCCGAAATCACAATACGCGTTTGTCCGGCTGACGAGTGGAGCTCCGCGTGTACAGCGCAAATATCGGAGGGCAGTCAGAAGTCCGGTCATTGCTCGGCTGGGGGTGTGTGTACGTGATGCGCGCGTATATGGAGCTCGTGGATCGGAAGTAACGCTTTCAAATACTCACGCGCCCGTTTGTTGTTTTGCTCCTTTGTTTTTTTTCCTGTTTTTTTCCATACAAACGTCAAGCCTCCCCCCACCCTACTTTTTTTTATTTCACGCACTCTCGATCGCTTGCTTTTAGGAGGGTTTGTCGGCTGAGCTGGAATTAATTTAGCGCTCGCACGGATCCAGAGAGAGGGACCCTCGCGCTAATGAGTTCAAAGGGGGCGGAGGCTGGCCCGTCGTTCGTTGCAATAAAGTGACTTGGATTGTTCGGAAATGAATTTCATTGCGCCAAAGGGTTTGCGAGCCTTTTGTTGTGTTTGCACGTATTACACATCGGGGTGTGCGTTTGATTTTGCGTTACGCGTCAATTGCCCTTTCACTCTCGCGGACACCCAAACTTTTTTCACCACCAACGCCCTTTCCACAACCGAGATGCAGATCATCACTTTTTGTTTTAATTGTGAGACAACTTCTTACACGAGAAATATTTAAAAGAAAATAATGAAGGTGTACGTATGGATTGTTGAACTATCGATGTGTACAACTACATTTCCGGGTTGTATTATTTGTTGCTGATGGAAAAACAAAAAAAATCCTCGCAAAAAGTGTGCTATCCATTTCTCAAAGAGCCAAAATCCATCAGTCCCGGGGTGATGCAGGGAAGCTCGGAGAAACGATAGACAGCCAGCAGACCATAGCAAGTCGCGCGTATACGCAAGCCCGCGCACACGGGGGACACGCGCAAACAACAATTCGGAATGATTTAATCCCCGAATGATGGACGGCCACGTCGCGACGATGATCTGCGTCGCGTGAAGTGACAAGTGGTTAGGATCAGTACACCGATTCCTCCGCACCCGCGCCCACCCGCACGTATTATATGCATATACACGCACTGAGAGAGAGAGAGAGAGAGAGAGGGGTTGTTTGACGCGCGAGGCTCGCTGTTAGCCGAGAGGCTTTCTCCCGGGGCAAATCACGGGGAAGAGGGCATTAGCGCGTCGGGTCGCTCTACACCTCGGCGGTGCAACAGCGTGCAGGGTATGGGGCCTCTGCCGGCTGGAAACTTGACGCTGATGCCGATCGTTAATGCTGATTTATCGGGAGCCCCGACGACGACGCGACCGTGGGATGAGCCGAGTCACGTGTGTGTGTGTATATGCGTGTGATGTCTTTGTGGGGAGCTAGTTTTTGGATATTTCCGGAAACGGGAGACGTTTTTTGGGGGTGTCACTTACCCTGCCTGGAAATAAAAAAGAGCGAGTGGACCCTCGAAAGCAAAGATTGGATGGATTTTTCATGAAAGTTGCACATTAGTTATGGAATTCACTTTCTATTACAATGCATGTCCACGTTTCTGACTCACCGAGCTTTGGTTCACCGAGTGGTTAACCAGTTCCATTAAATTGGACACTTTGAATGGAAAAAATCAATGTAGAAAAGCTGTGGAGAGAAAAAATTTGGCTGTCGCAGATAAAACACTATTACATGTGTGTAAAATCAGTGACAAAAATATTTTACTCTCTACAGCCTTCGTATGTCAATCGTTGATGAAATAGTACATTACGCCACTAGAGCGCAAAGTGTCACTTTGCGCCCGCGGGCGAACTTTGCTCCCGCCGACTACTTTGGGCCCGTGGGCAGAAAAGTACTTTTCCGCCCTAGGGCAGAAAAGTTCCACTTTGGGCCCATGACGCATGCACGAGAAGTACTTTGGGCCCTCACTTTGCGCCCGATAGGGAGAAATGGTAGTTTTCCTACGAGTTTGAAAAGTCTCTGTTTGCGAACCGAGACGTTTGCGGCCCGAACCGAAGGCGAGGGACGTAACGAGGTTCGTAAAGGAGACTTTTCGAACGAGTTCCGGAAAACTGCTTTTTCGCCCGAGGAAGTACCAGCCTCCCATAACCACCCGAGCGCGGAAAAATAGTAGTTTTCCTACGAGTTTGAAAAGTCTCTGTTTGCGAACCGAGAGGTTTGCGGCCCGAGCCGAAGGCGA